CTCATCAAGGTCTCGCTTTACGAAGTATTGGGGATGAGGAGAATGGTAATTTCATGCAGTCTCTTAAGTTAATGGCTACGGAGAATCCTACAGTTACACAGTGGCTAATGAAGAAAACAATGAAGCACACTAGTCATCAAATTGAAGATAAAATGCTAAACTTAATTGCGCAAGAAATATTACAGTCAATTGCTCAAGATTGGTCCAATTCATCTTTTGTCAGTATCATGGCTGATGAAACAACCGATATTTCAAACCATGAGCAGCTGGTAATTGTTATTCGTTGGATTGCTAAGGATTTTATTGTGCATGAGGAATTTATTGGTCTGTATGAGTTGTCAGTTACTGATTCTGCAACTATGGTGAAGGTAATATTGGGTGTGTTAACAAGATTAAATTTATCAGTCTCTAAAGTAAGTGGGCAATGCTATGCAAGGGCAAGTCTAATGAGTGAAATTAAGCCTGGGGTCACTAAAAGAATTTTAGAATTAGAGTCTCGAGCTATATACATCCAGTGCTATGGTCATGCACTGAACCTAGCAGCTGGTGACACAATTAAAAGAAGTAAAGTTATGCTGAATGCCCTAGATACTACCAGAGACATAACAAAGCTAGTTGAATCTTCTCCAAAATGTGAAGCAATATTTCAGGAATTTTCAAAAGCTTGAGAGTGTGAAGTCCCTAATAAATAGAAATTTGTGTTTCATGCCCTACAAGATGGACAATTAAAGCTGATGCACTAGCAAGAATTATCAGAAATGTTTCAAACAGCTTTTGAAACAACAAAAGACTCTGAAACAAAGGCATGAATTAGAGGCATCCTTTCATAGATGTCTAAAGTTGAATACCTATTTGTTAGTCTATTGGGTGAAAAGATTTTCCGGCACACCGACCATCTTAGCAAAACATTGCAAGCAGTGTCAAGTCAGCAGCTATGGGGCAAGGCATTGCAAAGATGACAGTAACCACTCTCGAATCTTTATAAAATGATGCCTCTTATGATTTATTTTTGGAAGTGACATTGCTTAGAGATAAATTTGATTTTGAAGAACCACAGTTATTCTGTTAAAAGAGTTGTTCAAAAAGATATGATGGCTTATCTAATGGTCTTTATCCTGAGACTGCTAAAGATTTATATCGTTAGCAGTACTTTGAAGCATTTGATAGTCATTACATGCATCAAGGATCGTTTTACCAGCCTGAATACAAAACAAATCAGTGAAGTTTAGAATTACTCTTAAAAGCAGTAAAAAAGATTATACTACTGAATTTGGAGCTGTTTCTAAAATTTATATAGATAATTTTAATTTAATAATTTAAGCATAGCTGTTACTTATAGTCAGAATTTTACTTTCAATGGAGATAAAAACAAAGTTACAATTCATGATCTCCATGACTATTTCAAAAATCTGACATCTGGTCAATGTGCAATACTCTCTGAGGTTTTTAAAATGATGAAAATCATGCCAGCAACTAATTCAACCTCTGAATGTTCTTTCACTGCTCTCAGACGTGTGAAAACATAACTACGAAGCAAAATGAGACAATGTAGACTGAATGTCATGGTTTTAAGGTATATGAAGATCGTACTAACAAACTTGAGCTAAGTAATATACGCCTTCTTTATCAGAAAAAAGGTTGTCTTATATGGGAAATATTGACAATTAATACTTATGTCTTTATAAATATTTTGCATTCTTTCTTTAAATTACTGTTCTTTTGCTATTAAAATATCAAAATTAATTTTTTTTTG